GGACTGCAGGCCAAATTTCTTCCCACTCTACAGCAGTGTCCCTATTTATAAAAGTCCAAAACTGTATTTGAGCCCACAAAGATAAATTCTTTGTGACTGATATTCGAGCCCATACAGGTTTGCCTGGGCCCTTGACATCAGGAAATGTGGCTGCAGATACTGCCACCAATTGGTGGCCTCAGCCCTTGACGAAGCACAAAAGGCACTTACTAAGTTTCACTTGAATTCCAACAACCCTTCGTTTGCACTTTAATTTGACCAAGAAACAAGCCAGAGCCATCAAGAAGCAATGCTCAGTGTACCCTCAATTTTTGCCTGTTCCCCATTATGGCATGAATCCCCAAGGACTGTTACCCAATCATGTCTGGCAAACGGACATAACACACATTCCAGAGTTTGGGATACTGAAGTATGTGCATGTTACTGTCAATACTTGCTCTGGATTTATTCTAGCTACTCATCAGACAGGGGAACAAGTCAGGCATGCTCTGGCCCATTGTAATGCATATTTTTCCATCTTGGGAACTCCCAAAGTTATTAAAACTGATAATGACCCCTGCTATACCAGCAGTAAGTTTTGTGATTTTGCTGCCTCCCACCACATACAACTAATAACAGGCATTCCTTATATTCCTCAAAGACAAGGTATTGTGGAATGTGCCAACTGTACTATTAAGGATTACCTTATTTAAACAAAAAAGGGGGGAGTTTAGCACTTGAGATCATTTCAACCTTGCATTATTTATCTTAATATTTTTTTTAACATTGGAAGCTGATGGGTGGTCAACTGCAGATTGTCACTGGAATCTGTCTTGGGATCAGAAGAGTCATGTGATGTGGAAGGATCTCTTGATTGGTCAGTGGCAAGGCCCAGATCCTGTCCTCATATGGGGGCAAGGATCAATTTGTGTTTTTCCAAAAAACAAAAATGATCCACGGTGGATTCCTGAGAGGCTTGTCCAGTAAGCTCCTGCTGCTGAGTCTTTTGAAAGCTAAGGTACTGGCCATGCTGATGGCATTTGAGTCAGAAGATCGACAGGACAGGCAAGCATATTGGGCCTTTGTTAAGCACCCCTCCTCTTTTTCTTCTTCCTATGAGCACTGAGATTCTGATATTTCCCACCATTTTCTCCTTAAATCAGACTACCAGACTGTCAAGTGTGCAACCCCAGCTGTTGGGGGCCTTGCCCTCCCTTTAAAAATAGCTCAATTTCTGCCCAAGCTTTTCTTATCATTCCCCTGTTATTACCATAGGGGAAATACCTGCCTTTTCCAAGTGGCAACTTTGTGGGGAATGGGCATGTGCCAGCATGTGCCCCCTTTTCCTTATTCAGGGAGGCAATTATTCCCATGGAAATTATCAGTTCAATCACTCCTCTGGATTTAAGGACTTGGGTGAACCTTAGCTCCTTGAATTTTAAGCCCGTGTCTGCCTGTGTTATCACCTATTTTTCTCTTACAAACAGGAAATACCTCTGAAGTGAATTGCACCAAGGTCAGTTGCACCCTAACAGCATGTTGGAATGGCAATGGTGATACTACTGTTGTTATGTGGCTGCCTAGAATCCTGCCTGTGCCTGTCGGGGCTAATGGAGAGACCTCTGCTGGCCTGATAAGGCTAAAAGAAACTTTGGCATAACAGCGACCATCATAGCCAGTATTGCCATGGCATTGGCAGCCACTGAAGTGGTGACCCTAGGACACACTACAGCTACCATGGAGACCGTGAACAAGCTCATGGGACAGCCCAAGTTATGGAACAACAGAACTTTATTAATGAACACATGCGGGTGGGCATGCTTATGTTGTAACAGCAGGTTGATTTGTTGGCAGAGGAGCAGCAGATGCTGTGGGATATGGTCAGGGCCTCTTGTTCTCCATCATACGTCTTTATGTGTGTGACACCTGTGTGATTGCAAAATGTTTCCCAAGCCCGGAAACAGCTGTCTGCTTATTGCTACCACACTAAAGATACTCCTAGCCACGGAATAGAGCACCAGCCTCCCCAAGGATGGTTTGCTCAGCTGCAGCAGGCAACGCAGCCAGTAACAGGTAAGATGGACCAGGCACTGACCAAGCTAATACAGGGGCTCTGTCATGCTACAGAGATTCCCGATGACAGGTAATGCTGATGGCCTGAGAGTTCACAAACTAAGACAGGCGCATTTGAGTCTGCTTTAAAACAAAAAAGGGGGACCTGTTGTGGGCTAAGTAGTTAACAGTGCTTGTTGGGCTGAGCAGTAATAGGAACTGGGCTTGCAGCTACAGCAGAAGCACAGGCTGAAATACACCTAGACTAATTGGACTCTGCTGTATCCGGTTGCTTGGCTAAAGGACTTTGGGGGAAGAGTACATAAAGAGAGGTGAAGGTGTAATAGAGACTTCAAAGAGATTTCTATCATCACTGGTCTCCTGTTGGGGCTTCATCCCCCTACCCTCTCCCTGTCCACGTTACTGGCTGTGCTGGCTAGAGTAAATCGCCCTGCTAAGAATTCTGTAATCCATTGAGGCATTGTAGTTTGCCCTTTTGAGATGGTTTTTGCAACTGATGTGAGCTTGGGAGTTAATGTCGCTGATCATGTCTTGGTGAGTGGGTCTTTAACAATTTACACATAAGAGTGCAATTAAGCCCGTGCTGTTTCTGGACACTTTATCGTGTGCCTAACTATTGCCTCGGAATCTGGCCCAGACATGTAGCACACCTTCTGGGAAATGGTTTGATAAGTACCCTAAAATTTAGTGAAAATGATCGGAGTACAAGCTGAAACTATTATGGCAATAAATGTAGTCACTGTGACCTTAAAGGCTAGCCTATCATTGCAATTCTTTGGAGCATAGAAAATGTATCTATTTCAACTGCTTTCATGATTTTTGGCTAGAGGAATTAAAGGATGCTTTTATTAATGGTACAGAAATATGTCTTTAACTATTGTTTGATTGTTTATGGAGTTATAAAGCCCGCAATTGTAGAGGGATTTGATGTTTAAAACTTTTACTTTGAATTTTTATGTTTTTCCCCCCTTAGGATATGCTTTCTTGTTAGGTGACAGGTAAGTTGTAAAAATAGAAGTGCTTTTTCTTTTAACATATTTCTCCCACTAAATGTTAGGTAAGTTGTAGAAATAGAAATGTAGTAGGAATGGATATGTATTACTGATTAGTAGGTAATCGCATTTACCTTGACCTTGGAGTCCTGGCCATCGCCCAGTGGCTACTACTAAAAAATGGATAATGGCTTGCTCTGAAGAAAATGACTATAGTAGTATTTTGCAGAATTATCTCTAAGAGTACCTGCTTGGTCATGAAGTAAAAATAGAAGAATTAAATGTTTGTGCAGACGCTTGTGATGTGTCTGGGTAAATAAAGACAGCTTCTCGAGCATTAATAGAGGGCACCAAGTGACCATGTCCTTGTCTCCTTTCACCAAATCCACACACCCTTCTCAAGCTCTGAACTTGGCTGGAGCTGGCCTCCAGCACCCAGGTTCTTGTCCCCCTTTCCTGTCCCAGGAGACCAATGGCTCCCTGGTACACTGCCATGCTTTCCAGTACTCTCTCCCGCTCCCCTCCCCAGGAACTTTCCTAAGTGACATGTGCTTAAGCCAGAAAATGCCCTATTAGCAACTTGACAATTTAGGTGATAAAATATATGTTTCACCCAAATTCTACCTATACTCAATTTTACAATAGACAATACTTGATAGGCTGTTTTCCTCTAGAATTTGATGAATCAGACACTTAAAAATAAAAGGATAAGAAGCATACCAAAATGTTCCAATAGTTCATGTGTTTAAGGACTTCAAACATGAAAATCAAGATGATTTTTTAAAAATACTTTGCTGAGAGCTGGTACAATGACTCAATTGGCTAATCCTCCACCTCCAAATGCCAGCATCCCATATGGGAACCCATTGAGTCCTGACTGCTGCACTTCCCATTTAGTTCCCCACTTATGGCGTGGGAAAGCAACAGAGCATGACCCAAAGCCTTAGGATCCTGTACCCATGAAGGAAGCCTGAAGAAGCTCCTGGCTTCAGATTGCCTCAGCTCTGGCCATTATGGAAGATGGAAGAGATGCAAGATCTTTCTGTTGCTCCTTCTCTCTGTAAATCTGCCTTTCCAATAAAAATAAAACTTTTTAAAAAGTATTTTTGAAATATTTTATGTATTTATTTGAAAGACAGAGCTATAAACAGAAAAGGAGAGAAAGAATCTTACATCTGCTGGCACACTTTCCAAATAATTGCAATAGTCAGAGTTGAGCTTCTGATTATTTCACTTGGGTGAAGGGGTTCAAAGACTTAGGCTATTTTCCACTGCTTTTCCCAGGCCATTAGTAGAGAGCTGGATTAGCAGTGGAGTAGCCAGGGCTCAAACCAACGTCTAAGTGGGATGCCAGCACTGTTAATGGCAACTTAATCTGCTGCACCATGGTGCCAGTCCCCAAGACATTTTTTAAAAGATTTTTTTTTTTAATTTCAAAGTCAGATATACAGAGAAGAGGAGAGACAGAGAGGAAGATCTTCCATCTGATTCACTCCCCAAGTGACCACAACGGCCAGAGTTGTGCTGATTTGAGGCCGGGAGCTACGAAGATCTCCAGATCTCCCATGTGGGTGCAGGGTTCCAACACTTTGGGCCATCCTGGACTGCTTTCTCAGGCCACAAGCAGGGAGCTGGGTGGGAAATGGGGCTGCCAGGATACAAACCAGCACCCATATAGGATCCTGGTGCCCTCAAGGTGAGGACTTTAGCTGCTAGGCCACGATGCCAGGTCATATTCAATTCTTTTTCATCTAAAAAGTTAAAACTTTACAAATATTAGGGCTAAGGAGAAGTGATCCCAGTTACCTGCCAAAGCCCAACGGATACTCCATCCAAGAATGGCTGGGATGCAGGTCTGCACAGGTCATCATCTGCCATGATTTCCCATCCAGCACCACAGAGACACCCCAGAGAAGCTCTCAAAACTGACCCTCAGAGACTACATATTCCAGTGAGCTTCAGGGAGACCCAAGCCATCTTTTCAAAAGGACTTTTAAAACCTAACCTCTGCCTTCATTCCTGTGTCAGCCACTCAAATTAACATTTTTTTCTAACCAAACCATTAACCAGCTTCTTTTGTAGGCCTGGGAGCCTCCCATTCCTCCCCCACCAGATGGAGACCATCACCAAGAGAACACTGCACTTGAAGATTTAAACAGGAGAAACATCCTCGAATTCTGTCTCCTACCGGCCTCTAGTCACTTGAATTCACTCTTTTTGTGGACCGCAACTCAATGTGGTGCCCTGATGGTTGCCACCACGCAGCCTACGTGGTAGTCATCCCTGAGTCTGCCCTGGAGCCCAATCGCCTCCCCATTTTGCCATGTGACAGGAGAGAGGATTCCTTACCACCAAGGGCAATCCTATCATTACTGCCTCTTTGATTAATAAACTTCTTCATGTCCTCTCTCTCCAGACACAGGTGGTGATCATCCGCTGCTGGGGACATTGGTCCTCCACAGACCTAGTGGCACAAGAAATGACAGAGTCTACCACACTAGCCTTTAATTGCCAAGATGCCTTCCCTGCCTCTGATCTTACTAATAATTCTCCTCTCCCTTCCATTAACTAAACAGACTCAATAATCTGCACAATTCAGGCAGCAACTCCAGTCTTAATACTGGGGATCCCCACTTATGTCATGTCTTATTCCAATACTCATTCCACTAGTAATTATAGGTCTCTTATTAACTATTGCCCCTTGTTTCCTAAGGTTCATTCAGAAGAAAATCCAAAAAGCATCATGGATCACCTTCAACCAAATGCTGCTCCGTCCCTACACAAAGGTGCTCACAAACCTCTTCCAGACCTGCTTAGGGACAACACCCTTCTTCAGCAGGAAGTAGCTAGATCAATGATCAATTTTGTGGGATTCAAGGGCAAATAGGTCACTAAGTCACAAGATGGTGGCTAACGGAAGAGTCCTGGGCGTGAACCAAGGCAAGGATCCAGTTGCTTTAAAGAAAGACTGATTGGCCAGGGACCATTTCTGTGCTCCTCATGTTCATCTGCCCCTGGCCTATGGGAGGTGGCTTCCACAGTCGTGCTGATGACACTGACTCCTAGTTCTTCTCCTCTCTTGGAATTCCTGGCCTGAGACTGTTCACTGTTCCATACAACAGTGTTCATTTCCCAAATAAACCAGAACTGCTCAGATGGAACGCCTGCTGCGTCTGTTTGTCTCTTGCATGCAGGGAGGCTGGATGGCAGGCAGTTGGCTCACCCTTTCTGACAACCAGGTACTAGAGGATGGATTCTGTGGGGAGGGAGCCCTGCATTTGTCACCCTCTTTCCCTTTACCAAAAGGCTGGAATGATGGTTGCCATGGTTACCAGAGGAAGGCAGGGCTTGCTTTGAGCCCAGTGTCACTCTAACCTCAGGCTGGGACCAGAAAGGGATGACAGAATTCTGACAGCCCGAGGCAGTGAAATCACTGATGCACCAATGACAGACACTAACCAATATTCTCCACCAAATAAAAGTCAAAGCGCCCTGCCAAAGCAATCCCCATTTCAGTTTCTGTGTCAAGAAGGGTTTAAAACTTCCTTGCACGTTTCTTCCTGGCTCTTTTCTCTTCCTCTGTAGCTCCTTCCTACATGTCTGTTTCTCTACTACATGGGGAAGGGAAGCCCATGACCAAATTTCCCTGGAATAAAGGCTATCTAAACTCTTTTCTATATGTGGCTGATGTGTTCTTTCCCTGGGAGTCGGTGAATTTAACCAGGAATACTTCATGAATTTTCACATTGCCAGGAATGCTTTAGAAAGAAAAAATAGGAACTGAAAGATTTTTAACAACTTAATTTGATAACATACCTGGAGCAAATACTAAGTACCGGCTTAGATCCTGTCTCTTTATATTCCTCTATTATTCAGTAAGTTCATTTTAGGAAGCATCTGACAGTTTCATCAGCCTTTTTCATTTCTATACAAGTGATTTTCACTTCCCACAGAGTAACAACTAAACCCTAAGATTTCCTAGAGAATGGCTTCAATTGTCGAGTCCTCACTATGTACATATAAGGGAAATGCTGGTTTTGATTTCTGTTGGAACAAGACAGTTTTCACTAGAGTACTTAAAGTGTCCAGAAAAAAAAATTCCAAAGTGCTCTTTTGGTGCACACAGATCAACATGTAATAGACAACGTGGCAGAAAATCCAGAACATACTTCAGTCACATTTGATTCTGCCTGCCAGGGGTCCTTCCTTGTAATGGGAAATCATTTGAGTCAGGATGGAACAGTTGATAAGAAGAAAGCACAAACTAGCTAACCAAATCAACAAGAAGGTGTTCTTCCCTTGAAACTCGAGAGCGTAAGCAGGTGCCAGCCACAAGGCCTGCCCCACAAACCATAACATGAGGAGGCCCAGGGACTTCTGCCAAGGCATTCTCACTTGTGGCATCACGAGTGGCAGAAGGCAGAGGTACCAGAGAAAGTACTGGGAGGTGCAGACTTTGTTAAAGGCCACGAAAATGGACGTGTGGAGGAACCAACAAAAGGCAAGGTCTCTGTGATAGGCAAACGACACAGCGCAAAGCAAGACGAGCTGTGGCAGGAAGGCTGCGATTCCCAACGGGAAACTCCACTTGCTCTCCGCAGCCAGATACAGCATGTAGAAGTAGGGGGAAAAGTTGTGTCGGATGTCCCTCCTGGTCAGGTGATAAAGATAGGTGTGTTCCACAAATTCCCAACCGTATTTATAGTAGAAACCAAAGCTCAGGGCAAAAAACGTGAATCCAGCAAGTGCTACGAAAAGCAACACAGCCCGGCTACACATCCTCCTAACGAGTTCCCACAAACGGGCCGGGAAAGAAGTCCCGGGCGGGCCCTCGTCCCGCTCTGGCAGCAGGTGCAGCGCGATGGGAAGGACGTAGGTCACGGGATACAGCTTCATGTGCACGGCGACCCCGTAGGGGACGGCGGCCCAGGCGACCAGCCTTCTCTCTAGCAGGTACAGGGCCATGAGCACCAGGGAGGCGACGATCGAGTCTGCGTTGCCTCGGCTGGACACCGCCATGGGCAGCGGGTTCAGCAGCCAGAAGGCGCAGTAGCCGCACGCCTGGCGCCACCCGAGCCCCCTCAGGAGCAGCAGCCGGTACGCGAGCAGCGCCGTGAGGAGGTCGCAGCTGACGAACACAAACTTGCCCCAGAGCTCGCTGAGGTGCACGTTGGGGGTGAGGACCCAGGCCAGCAGCGGGGTGTAGCGATAGGTCGCCCTCCGATACGGGGAGCGCCCTTCCGCCACGAAGCGCGCCGCGTCCGTGAAGACCTCATAGTCGATGTCCGTGTACCTCACGCGCAGCGTCCGGTCCTGGACGACCCCATAGAACACCAGGGCCACTCGGGCGAGGAAGGCCCCGAGGAACAGCTTGCCGGGGGACACCCGCAGGTTCAAGAGCCGCTCTTGCCAAGGCTTGGTGCGGTCCATGACGGGACTGCCACACTGGCCACTCGACCGCGCCTCCGAACCTTCCATGCGACTTCCCTCCCGGCCAGCCGTGCTCGCATCCCCTCAGGGAAGCGCGCGCGAACCTCCTGGAGCCCAGCACTTCCGGCATGCAGCACCGCCCCCTGGCTGCTTCCGGTCCCCGCTCAGGATTCTCATTGGCTCCGGGGCGGGACTTCCGACGTCTGACTGAGTCCCGGGGCGCTTGACTGGCAGCAGTCGCCGGTTTCAGAGCAAAGCGGCTGTTGTTCCAGAACAGTGTCCAGTCGCCAGAAGCAGCCCTCCGACACGAGCAAGCTGCGAGCGATAGACTCAGGCCTTGGCTGGAGCCCAGAGAGTGGAAAGTTGTGGCTGAAAGGAAAGCAAGGTTGAAATAGTTGCATTTAATATACACCCCAGCTCTGCGTGGGGTTATGTGCGAGGAGTTTGTGAGTCGGTTGAGAAGGGGCTGGAATAGTTTGAAGGAGAGGCAGGGTGGGCATGTGTCAGGCAATATTAGGAGAATACTTAATGTTTAAAACTACTAGTTGTTTAGCAGAAATCCAGGTCTAAGTGAGCATCCTGTATTATCCAGCAGCCCTAGGTGGAGAGGATGGGTGAGGGAAACGAGAAGGCAGGCTCACCTGACAGACCCCTCCACCATCTAGGGTTGCACAGCCGGCCCATGCTCCAGTCTTAGAGAAGATACTGCCCAGCTACACGTAAATCTGGCCCAGGGTTGGCCACTCAAGTGCTCTGAAACTGAATATTCCATTATTACTCAACATGCTGTTTTAGTTTGCTATCAGGACTCAGATTTCCTTAGGAATGGAGGCGGTCCTGTGCTTTTCTGTACAGTTATAGTAGTTCTTCAGTAAAAGTTGTACGCGTTTTGGGTGTTAACTCCTGTCAGAATGCTAAAGAGGCATCCTCGGGGTGCTCCAACAGGCATTCCTTTCCCCCTGGAACACCTACCTGGGTCGCCATCTGCCCTGCACACGCCTCCCTTCTCCACTGGCTCTTTCCCTTCTCTGAGCACTTTCAGCACTTGCCAATTACTTGAGATTGCAGAGGCTTGGAAAGAAAAGGTATATCTTTAACCTTTGAACCTCATAAGTTACTGCAGTCTGAGTCTTGGGGCAGATCCCTAGGAATTGTTGACTAACTTTGTTTTACAGATTGGGTCTACTTCGTAGGGGTGTCTTCCAGCAGCATAGGAGAGGAAGTGACTCCATTCTTTCTGAAACTGCAGCTCTCATTACTAGCCTTTGCTCATACAGCCTACAGTTAACATGGATCCTCTGGATGAACCATATTAATCTCATTCTCCATTCATATTCTAATAACTCTGTTCTTTTATATCCCTGGCATAATTGCATGTCTTATATTGTTCATTATTTCTGGCCATTTTAAGGTACATTGGCCATGTATATAGCAGCAGTATATCATCATTAAAATAATAATTATGATGACTTATAACAGCAGGATTTTGAGGACTTATTTGTAATGTGCCATGCATTGTGCTAAATAATTTTCATGTGAGGTAGATATCTTTCCTTGACAAATGAGAAAGATTAAGGCTTATGGAGCTTAAGTAATTTTTCTAAATCACAACAGCCAGCTAATGGTACAGCAGAGACTCGGAAACCAGGTCTTTGGGGCTTTAGGTGTCTTAGTATGTGGCTGACTTACGAATAAAATATTGACTATGAACTTTCATTTACCTGTCTGTTACCTCTCATTGACCTTTTGTGTGAACCTTCCTGATCTCTTCTATTATGATTCTGTCTCTGATTTATTCTTTTCCTCTTTGAGTAATAGCTGAGACTTAGTCCTATAAGAATTATAGGAGGCAAATCTCTATAAGTAAAAGCTTCCCTAACTGGGTTGGCTTAGGTAATATGGCAAAAAATGCCTCCACCAATATGTCTCAATATGGCTGACCTAGGTGAGACTGCAAGTTACCAAATTTGGGGAAATAAAACCACATACAGCCATACAGCCAAGCAAAGGAAGCCAAACATGTCACTGAAAAAGAATGAAATGTAGAGACTAGTTGTAGAGAAGGATTTAGGGCTGTGTAAAATCTATTGGACAGGGCCCAACACAATAGCCTAGCAGCTAAAGTACTAGCCTTGCATGTGCCAGGACCCCATATGGGTGCCAATTCTAATCTCAGTGGCCCCACTTTCCATCAAGCTCTCTCTTTGGGGCCTGGGAAAGCAGTCAAGGACAGCCCAAAGCCTTGGGATCCTGCACCCGCATGGGAGACCTGGAGGAAGTTCCTGGCTCCTGGTTTCAGATCAGCACAGCACCGATTTTTTTTTTTTTGCAATAAAAAAATAAATAAATAAATCTTTTTTTTAAAAAAAAGTGGAAGGAATGGGTGATATTATTAAGAAGAATTAAAGGGAAGAGTTCTAGCAACACTGTCAGATGTTCTTCTAACATAGCCTCATTCAACCCTCCTGCTGTGGATTCAGGCCATGATCATAAAATTGGTTTATATTTCTCAAAGAAATTTAGAATGAAGACAAGAGATTCATCTATTTCATTTTGGAGCTTGTTCTGAATAGATAAAAATAAAATAAAAGAAACAATCCGTGAAAACTCACCTTTTCCCTAGGTGTACCTGACAGGTTTTAGTCTTTAGTGCAATTATTAGAAAAACCATCACTGGATACTTCTCCTTTAGTAGAGTTAGCCATCACTTAATGTGGAGGCCCAAAGATAGTATGTTCATTTGCAAATAAACTAGGTGAACTAAGATGGGAACGGGACCAGGGAAACAGCCTTGGGGTGATGCAGTGTCCCTGGTTCATAGTTAATGTATAACTGGCTTCTTTTCTCTACCCAGACCTCATAGGCAAATCCCTAGATGATTTTATGGACTGATGTGGGTCTGGGTAGAAAATGACGTAGAAATAAGGAGAGGAATTTCAGACGCTGTCATGGAACTGCACCATCCCCTTATGTAGATGTAGCCAAGGCATCACTGGCATGCTCAAATGCCAGGATTAAGACTCTTGTGACAGAAATGGCCTGCTCTGGAGGCTACTTACAGCCATAGAGGGGCTGGCCCTTTGCCTTGGGGATGTCTTGGCCCAATAGCTTTTCATTTTTGGCATTTGGATTCATGGTGGAACCTTCCCCTTGATGCCTCTTGTACACCAGTGTGCTCGGTTTCTCCATTGCATTCCAGTGGCTGCAGCTACATGTGGCTCACCCCTGTGAGAGAAGGGGCAATATAGTATATTTCAAGAGATGGAGACAGATAAGTGTTTTATTTATGTGCTTTATTTTAAAAAAAAAAAAGGCACTATAGTGAGAGGATGCTCCTTGGGATGGGGGCACCTAATGTAAGTAGTAGATTTTCCTGGCTTTCCCCAATAGGGTATCTCCCCTTCCCATTTCCTTCTAGCTCCTCTCTTCCTGATCTTGTCAATGGGACAAGGTCCATCAAAAGCTTTGATAGCTGGCTGTTCATTTCTGAAGGGCAGTTTCCACCCCACCCTTCCCAGTCATCAGACATGAAATCCTTCATTAGCTGTATCACTTCCATGTTGAAATCAGGATCACTAGTTGTAAGTCAGATAATTTGAGTTTTCAACCCCACAGCCAGGGCAAGATACCTGCCCTCAATGCTGAAGTATCTGAATACTTCCTTTCTGTACATTCAATATATCAGGACATATATATATATAAAAATATATATATACATCTATATACATCTCTATATATGTATATATTATCTCTGTTTCTTTCTTTTTAAATAAACCTTTCATCTGTATCATATCTTAATATCCCAAGCTTCCACTTACTTCTTCTATTCACTAACTCAAGTAAAACTCAAGGTTTTTTTTTTTATTATTATTATTTCACTAGGTCCCTCAGCATCAACATTTCCCATCTTCACACATCTTCACATCCTCCCCCACCCGTTGTTTTGCCCATATTCTGCAATCTCCCCCTCCCCGTAACACCTGAGCCCGAAAACACCCTGCCAACATCCCAAGTCCGTAGCTGGTATGAACAAGGCACTCATTTCTCATCTGACCTGGCTGCTTTTAAACTTGACCTATAGCCTGAAAGCGGACTCCAGGACAGATGGGACAGGCTGCTGTCTAAAGAACCATTCAGGGCTGGGTGTGAGGGAGTCGGTCCCTGGGGTAGCAGTGGAGGTCGGAGGCTTATGGGAGAAGATGCCGGATTGTTCATAGGACAGTACAATTTAAAGTGCAACTTAGAACAAAGCCTGGGATAGGGGTGGAGGCTCAGGAAGGGTTAAGTCTGAAAACGTTCTCAGTATTATCCAAGAAATCTGAGGAGTCTGGGGCTTAGAGTAGACAGCAGGGGAGTGGGAAGAGAGTAACTCCTTCAGAGGGATAAGCAGCAGTTTGCAGAAGAAACCAGCTGGAACATAACTTGCCAACGGATAAGAGATACACAGAGCAGTACATTTTGTCCTTAACGCCTTGAGAGAAATCAGGTATGTCTAATGTTGAAGTCAGTTTCAAGCACAGAGGCTGGCCCTTTGCCTTCTGTTCTTTGTTTCTGATGTTCAGGTTTTTCTGGTTCTTATTCTTACGGCAGGTGGAGTGGGCAGAGATTGGACAGTCTTCATTTTCAACAGTTATCTTGAGTTTAAGGAAAGATGAATAGGACTCTGTTCAGTATAGTAAATGACAGCCATCCAGTCACAAAACGCTCTGGGTTTCTCTGCAGGGAACTTCACACAGGCATGCGTGTACATTCTGATGAGCATATGGTTTCAAACAACTGGTTCAGTCCACCTTAAAAAGGAAACTGCCATTTTATTCCAACAGGGACTCTAGGCCCAGGCACTTTTTGGAGGGGGGGGGCGGGTTGAGGGAGGTGGGGGAGGGAAGAGGAATGCATTCCTTGGTACCTAAGTGAGATCAAAAAGCACTTTTGGAATCTGGGGCTTTAGAGAAACTTTTGTGCTTGTGTGCTGTACCCTGACCTTTCCCACTGCCCCCACCAGAGAATATAAAGCATACTTCTTGACTTGCACGAGGAGGGTGGGGAGGACACTGATTTTCA